AAGCGCTCGAAGGAATGCGGGCTCACGGAAGTTGCAATCGATTACAGTCCGAAGTTTAGGAGTACACTAATCTCGCCGACTCACGAGTAGAATGAGGAATTATATAACTCGAAATTTTTGACCACTAGAGGAAAGGTATCTGAAGTCTGAATAGCAAGTTTCGGAGCTGATCAATCATCGGGTGATTATGGTACGCATTCTTTCTGAAACCCTTATCGGACACGCCGTATTCATTACAGGTTCCTGCGAGCTCCCCTTGAGCGGCACAAATCTCAGCGTCTTGAATCTGCAGTTGACGGTACAATACTATAGCACGGTAGGAATGAGTACTCAGTCATCGAAAGGTCAGCCACTCTGACATATAAGGTAACGTTCATGAATATGGACCTACTAGCCGCCATCCCTCCGGATATACTTATCGAAGACTCTTCGACGAAGAGGTCGTTATTGTAGCGTGACACACAACGAGTTCAGAGAAAGAAAACAACCACCGTCGGTCATGATTGATCCCTCCCATTTCGCAGTAGCTTTACAATGCCCAGGCAGTCAAGTATAGATCACTGTAGTTAGGAGTCTGGTAAAACACGATGCCTGTTGTAGACAAACAAGTGCGGGACAGTATCTTTAGGTATAGTACAGCTAAAGCTAGTAGTCTCTATAGACTATTAATTCGGATCAAAGTGAATTCAGGTTGTGATAACTGTATGTAATGTGAGGTTAGTTTATAGTGCATCACTCATATAGAGCATCACTCGAGCATTTGCAGTTTTTCGAAATTGATCTCAAATTTTCCCAATGCGTTTTGCTGTTTCTACTGCTGTAGTTGTTGCCAGTGCCGTTGCTGTGGCCACTGCCACTGAGGATGCTTGCTCACAGATGTGCTCCGAGGTCGATGGATGCCGCGGGTCCAAGTATGGTTCATACTGCAAGGGTTGGATGACACCTTCTATTTGCTTCGGTCTCGTCAGAAGAACTGACGGCTCCTATTGCTTCCAGCCTGGTGATGTTAGCTGCGTCGGCGAGGCCGTACCCTGTTCCATGGGTCATGTGACCACCGCTGAGCCCACTGAATCTCCTCTCACCACAGCGGTTCCCGCAACCAAGTCAGCGTCTACTACTAGTGCTTCTATTGCGACTACCGCTACTGAGGTTAATACCACGGCTGCTCCAACGACTACCGCTCAGGCCGTGACAACCACCCCTGTGGAGACCACCACTAACACCGTCGGTCCTATCACTACGAC